TTTTCAACCTTTTTTACTTCCACCGAAAGAAGCATGCATCGATATAAGCCGTGCGGCGGATATGTTTGCCTATTCTTGGCTGTGGAGAAGCATGTATGGCGCTCAGCGAAGCAACAAAGTTACGAGGAATATTAAATATCTTCTGGTTTAACCATTCTCTTGCTTTCATTGGGTCTTCTTGGCGACGAGGAAAAAAACACCGGTGTGGTCGGTGCTTTTTTCCTCGTGGGAACACTTTCTCTGCATCTCATGCCACTCGACCAGGAACAGAGACGCTTCTGTCAGGGATTCTTCCAGGAACCTCCGAGAGAGCGGAACCGATGGAAAACGGACGTCGCCGAGCCAGTAAAAAGTATTTCCCAAGGCTCCCTGCAGGAGGAGGAAATAGTATGGAAGGGCTACGACATTTAGTGAAGATGACTTAATTTCATCGTTTCTCAAGTTTACCTGCATGACGAGATGGCCTCCGGGGAGCAGAAGTGAAGCGACGTTTTTCATGGCTCGAGAAAAATCAAGAAAGTCGGCCGCGGCGAATTCCAGGCAAAGGCTGGAAACGATTGCCTCGAAAACGTCTGCTGATGGCCAAATTGGATTCTCCTGAAACACGTCGCAGGGTATGACTCTCGTCACGCACTTGCGGACGCGACTTGCCAGTTCTTCCGGGTCCCTGGAAGTGAATCAATTTGAATTGAATGAAATCAGAAAAAGAACTCATACCCTTCGATCTTGCACGAAATGCGTCGATCGAATCTGCACGCATATTTGTATTTGAGGAAGACTGTGGATGCCGAGGCACGTGACATCTGAAAGAGCATAACTCGAAACACTCCTCACTTCACCCAGGAGGAAACAGAATATGTCTAACAGTTTCCTTGTCCCTGTTCAAACTGTTGCAAGGAGGTTTCATATCATCAAGATGGATCTTTTCGGGTCCTGCTTCCCCCCGGCTACAAAGGAGCGCGAGCGTTCGGAACCCTTCTACCTTTTCCCCTCGAGGTGAGCCACATGTGCCAAGACGGACGTCCAATCCATGGCAGAGTCTTCGCCATCCACCCATCTCTTCACCTCCTCTCGGTTCGCCCTCACGTAGTCTGACAGCTGGATCTCGGAAGCCCAACGAGATGCGGAGATGCTGTTGTATACCACGGGCCCGCATCCCACCTCCAACATTTTCCCGCTTCCAAGCCGACCCACTGTGCCTTCTGATGCAAAAAAGCATCGGTATAAGCCAGTGGACAGATCATCTGCCGTACAGCAGTGGGCACTATATAGCTTATGTTACAAGAGCTTACAATCATTTTTCAGTTGCTTCAATGATGCGACAATGGGCCTGATTTACGCGCACACCCCTATGAAACTGAACGCGATATCCATGAAATGCAGGATATCCGTTAATCAGGTCATCATGTAAGCTTAATTTTACTTGGACGTCCGTGACTCTCCCACAAGTTCAAACTGATAGCTGTTCAAATTTTCTGCGGACGAATTCCAACTCATTCAGACACACTTAAGATGAAAATGGGTTTCGGAAAATTCAACTTGCCAGGGGAGAAAGTTCGATGAAGGTTCTCGAAGAAGAATTCGAGATCTCGATCCAGTGTCCCTCCATACTGACTGCAGTACTTGCGAGGATCAAACTGGCTTGCATACAAATCTTTCATCTCCTGCTCGGACTTGAACTTTCCTTGATTCTCGTCTTTTGAAAAACCCATCAACATCAAGACAGGATGGCACAATAGTGAATCGAGCTCGAAGTTCTTGCTTTCGTAGCCACAGGAAGGACGAAGTTAGAAGTAACGGAAATCAAACAGCGAAGCACAGGGCTAGAAAATTGCGTGAAGCTTGTCGACGAAGAATGAGCGCATCTTATGTGCGGACGCCAGTAGAGGCTCACTTTTTTTATCAGGTTCTCAAAGCGGGTAATTACGGTCAATGATATTCATGAGTGTTGATATAAGGCCCCCTTTTTTTTTAAGACAGGGTGCGAGATAATATGCGCGAAAGCGTCTTGCTCGATTCCCCCTTATGAATATTTATTTCACGCTCATAGTGCTATCTCGTGAATATAATGGAATTTTTAACAATCGTGTGGCACAGAAACGTGTTCCTCTGGATAGGAACACTGTCTCAGGTTTATTCCTACTATTACTTTTGATATTTAGGGTGGATTTTTTTTAAACAGAGCACTATTCGATAATGCAGCTTTATTTACCGGATTTATCATGCATTTTCTCTGAAATAAAGCAGCATTATCGGATAGTTCTCTGTTCAAAAATCCATCCGTATTCTTGAGTTGGGTTTGATATTTTCTTAGTGACCCCGAGACCTACGATCTTTCTCTGCACTAGTGTTGAAATGATAAAAAAAAGACGTCGAACTCAAAAGAATAATCGTACAAAATCTGAAGGCACCATAACAAAAACGAGAAGAGTGCGACTCATCGGAAGCGAGAAACGCTAGCAACTCTGGTCTTTCGGAAACGCCTTTGTACCAAGTCTCGAAGTTCATGCACGGCTGCTTGATACCTGTTGAACACGAGATGAAGAACGCCAGGCTGTTATTACAGTTATAGTGGTAGATTTCATTTGAGTCGTTGAGGACACTTCTTACTGATCATCTCTAGTAACTATCTCGTAAGTCATCATGCAGTTGCTCTCATTTACTCGTTGATCCAATGGCTCTTCACCCAACGAGGTTCTTCACTGGATCTGAAATCAATAAAGATGATGATCGTCATTATGCTTCTGTTCTGAAGGTCGCATCGATAGCCAAGGATCCAGGCGAACGAGTTGCCTCCCGGCCCCTCCATCCCTCGACTGGGTCGTCCTAGGACGGTTTCACTCTGGCAATCAACGATTCATACGAGGGATTCGATTTAGGCAGTCTTCAGGCGAGTGTCCTCGGGTGCTGTGCGCCTCTTACCGCTCTAAAGGGCCTTAGAAATGGTTTTTTATTTTGCAGCGTCGCTTCTGCGACCTCAGAATGATGATGAAAGGGTTGCATCTCGTTCGCCCCATTCATAAACATTCTAAAAAACTTTGAGGATATAAATCTAAGACATTCTGTTATTTTCTGGAAGACTCGCATGAATCACTTTGAACCTGTGGATGGGATCTATTGTTTATTCATTTGGCGCGAGTTATCTAATGTTTCCCACCACATGCGGTCGGGTTTCTTCGCTCTCCTTTTTTTTGCGAGCCTGCCTTCTTTACAAAGAAATGAGGCGCCCTGCGCGAATCGCCTGAATGTCTGACAGCCTACGTCTGGCGTGCCGGCGCGAAGCTTTCGTCATCGTTGGCCACGTAACTGCATCGGGTTTCACCACGCTTTCAACGCAGTTCACAAACGCGACACGTTTGCAATCTATTTGGTTTCCGAAAGCATTCGTTGGATAATAAATTAGAGATAAAGTAAATTTCAACTATGAAAGCTCTCGTAGAGCATTATAGAGTGTAGTTGATGGTCTCCTTCGCGCTTACCAGGGACCGTCCCAGTGTCCCCCGCTCGAGAAATCCTCACGTGTTTTCCGGGGTTTGATAACAGAATGTTTTCGTTACATTACATTTTCCGATGCCAGAATTTCCGTTGCACTACGTTATTTTGTCACGAAGCTTGGTAAAATTCAGTTACCTTACGTTATAACGCTAAAACTACCTTTCGTTACCTTACGTTATAACGCTAAAACTACCTTACGTTACCTTACGACTACCATTCACTTACCTTATAAGGTTATAACGTATACGTTATAAAGCTAAAAAATTTTTTTCCATTGCTGTTCAACTTATCCTGCATCAGAAGAACGGAACTTCGATATTCGATAAACTAGTGGTTCATTGAGTCTCTGATCCTAAGAAATTCATCGTATAATTCGCGTTAAAGAGGATTCGGATGAGGCTTCATACATGGAGCCCATCAACGCAATAAGTTACGTGACTCATTGGTAAAATTTCCCAGGAGTCAGTTTCCCAGTTTCCTCTACTTTTCAATAATCATCTGAACAGTTTCTTGCAACTATGAGAAACAGCCTAGGCGATTATGGCAACGGCTAAATCTAGGTTGGATTAGTGAAGAAGATGATCTCGAGGAGAGTCAGTACATTCCACAGCGTTGTCAGGGTTTCGCCAAACGGTGGGAGAATGATTAAGGGGAGTGCGGGCTGGAATCCCCCCCTCTCGCCACGCCACTGACTACTACTGTGTGTTGCCTTTATTGAAGAAATGTATGGATGTCCCATCATATGCTGCCTTTCAATTCTGAGAACGGGTACGGGGGTTCATGGTAGCTTTTAAACTGGGAAAGCACGTGAGACGGTAGTGGCGCCATCACAACACCTGATTTGGTTATATAGTGCATCCAAAAGTTTTTTTTTTTAGAGAGGTGTCACCGAGGTATATAGGATTACCTATACGTGAGACAACAATCGCATTATGGATGAACCCAGTGTCCTCCCTGCTGTCATCATATCTCAGTTTGGAAGAACGAAAAGTTTCTGGCCATATGAAAGCATCCGGCTTCTGAACATCTACCAGCTAAGACCGAAACAAAGTGCTTCGTCGATTTTCATGGCCAGAGTGGCTCCCTTGCAAGATATTGAGGAAGCATAACATTATCAATCCAAAACATTTAAGTGGGAATCATCCATCGTCAACTTTGGGTACTTCTCATGCCTCAGGCCATGTGAATTCGAACAATTGAGCGAATGTGAGTGCATCTGTGGAGAGAATTGTTAGATAGATGGGTAGGCATGGAACTGCAAATCTCTATGAATCTGTGGATCAACTTTAGTGTAGAGAGCGGCCAACATGCTCTTGCTTCGCAACAGGACTGAATTTAAATTTTGTGGTTATAATTCAACCAAGACCTGGGAGTGGGCGAGAAAGTTCTGGTGTCATTCGTTGCTCAACTGGTGCAAATCTTCGGAATTACGCTCCTGAATATTTATTTCATCACTAAAAAATAGATGACATTACCATGTTTGACCCCGTGATTCTTTCCCTCCACTAATAAGGGGTCGGGTACTTGGTCTCCGCGTACATCGCGTATACTTCCCGCCGTATGACATCAATATCAGAGGAATCGTTAGCCGAAAATTGGATCCTCTTCAGTCCCCTCTTCTCCATCTCCTTCGTGTGTTTCCTCTTCCGAATGTTGGAAACCGAAGCCGGGCTGACCATCAAAATCCGCGCCGTGTAGTGAATCGTCTTTTCCTCTTTTTGCATGTTCAGGATGGCCTGTTGCTCTTGAATGGTCAAAGGTTTTTCCCTACTCCGACGTGCTGACATGTCAAAAGAGAGTAAACCACGAAGTCATTGTCACCCCACGTATGGGTAGTCACATGTACCTTAGTGATAAATTAAATGCTGGATGTTCTATACTCCTTTAGCTGCACATGGTCAAGTTGGTGCAATACCCGATTTTCCCAGTCTTACATCACTCCAAGTGATTTCCACTGTTGGATGGACAGCAAGACGGGACTTTTGGAAGACCCAGTATGTTTATCTAGGGCTGTCTTTCTGTCCAAAACAAACGAAATTAATTCTTTCATTCATCCGTCGTTACTATACCGTAGCAGACGACAGCTGCGACGCATCCATGCTTCAGAAGCTCATGGCGGCATCCTTTGCCGACTGGCCCCTGCTGCCCACCACACACACAGGCATGTTAGGTGTGTCACACAAGAGTATTGCTTACGTCTTCCTGCATAGGCTAGCATACGTTGGTTCATTGGCGTTTTTACTCTAAATTCGAATTTTTAGGTCGTATCTGAGGGCGGAAGGACTAGAGGTTCTAAAGATGTCGGCATACGCTAGTGCTTCCTTGTGGAACAAACTTTGCATTGTGACAGGTGAGGCTGTTATTTTTTCATTGGTCAGATTTTTAATCATCATACAGGGTAGTCTAACTTGTACATAACATGTAAAACAGCATGAATTGGAGGATCAGGGACAACATGCTGAAAAAGACCAGAATCTGGCAGGGACAGGATCAGTGTGCATTGGAAATGGTGAAAAAATATATATTTCAAATATGCAATGTACACATGCTTGTTGTATACCAGATGCCAGTGCCAATCCAAGCAATGGACAATGAAGAAGATGCAGAGAAAATAAAACTACATAGAAAAATGGAAAAAAATCATGACTTTTGCCAACCCTGGTTTAGGTCATAAACTTAGCCATATCCTGATTGAGCTCAGATCGAACTCAAATTGGGTATAACGTTAGTTTTTATGGTATTGTAATTTTGCACTCAAGACTAGGATTGTTAAAATTAATTTGAAAATTTGAAAAGTATGAACATAGTCCACAATAGGCTTCAGTTCATTCCAAGGAAATTTACAGTATGAAGTGTTAAGATTGTGCTCAAATATTAGATTCTTATCATGGAAACTAAAGTTTGGGTTTCTCATCCTTCCTCACATTGTTGTAGGTGCTGGAAGTGGAATTGGAAGGGCAATATGCAGATTAATAGCTGAAGAAGGTGGTGCTGTAATAGCTGCAGATAGGAATGGAAGAGCTGCAGAGGAGACCATTGCAAGCTTGACCAGGTTGAGCTCAAGCAAGTGAGCTATTCAGCAATTAGTACTTACAGCCTATCTAGGTTAAATTTTTTCCCCTGGGCACAGAATTTGATATTATATGTTACTCTAGCAGTATGAGAGTTCTTAGTTCTGGTTCCTCAAGTTGCATTGAAGCAGTTTGGAATGCAGTATGAACTAGGCTCTATATGTAGTTTGTATGAGCCATGGTTAATGATGTTCTGAATCGCTGAATTTTGTAGTGATCTGGCACATGAAGCTGTTTCCATTGATGTTGCTTCAAAGACTACTGTACTGGAGCTAATGAGAGGTATAGAAAGTAGAAAGATCCCAGGTCCCTCTGTCCTCATCAATTGTGCAGGAGTCACTAGGGATAACTTCCTCCTAAAAATGGATGAGGAAAGTTTCACTGATGTCCTGAATGTGAACTTAAAGGTGAGAAAGCCAATATGCCTCTTTCCTCTGCTGATCTATAAGAGATTAGTTCTTAGATATAGTGGTAGAGTTGATTTTTTAAAATAAGGAATGAAGTTGTACTGAGACAAAATATTGCACATTATTTGTTTGCAGGGCACCTTTCTGATGACTCAGGCTGTTGCACATTTGATGATTAAGAAAGGGATCACAGATGGATCAGTTGTCAATTTTTCAAGTGTAGTGGCCAAACATGGGAACATGGGACAATGCAACTATGCTGCAAGTAAAGCTGGAGTAGAGGCATTCACCAAGACAGCTGCTAAGGAATTAGCTCAGTTAAGTTTCATTGCTCATAGTTTATTAACTGCACATTATTACCCATGTGAGTTTGTGAGTTTGGTTGCATTGAAATATCTTTGCCTTGAAGATCCAAAATAATGTCATTATAGTAGCTTGGAGCTGCTTTTGGAGTTTTTGTTAATATATTTTGTCATTTATGCTATACATTGCCTCCTTAGGATGGAGTTTAGATTACTTGCTTTCTTCAATTCAAAGGTATGGCATTCGGGTAAATGCTGTGGTTCCTGGATTTACTGCTACACCCATGACAGCCACAGTCCCAGACAAAGTGATCCAGAAGCTCTTGTCTTTGACTCCATTGAGGAGAATGGCCAGACCAGAAGGTGCCTTTTATCATATAAGTCTTGTTTTTTTCCTTTATGTTTTGAAGTTTAGGATAACCCAAGGAAGGGGGGGGGGGTTGAGAGAATAATTCTTAAATCAGAGCTGAAATGCATGAATTAATTAAATGTAATATAGGGTGAAAGAGTTTTAAAAAAGATATTCTCTTCTAGTCTTATTTTCCTCATTCAATTTGGCAAATGAAAGGTTTGTGAAGATAGCTTTTATTCAGAAATTGGGGGGGAGGGAGAGTTAGGTGGAGGAGAAAACATTAGTTGTTTAGATCAAAATTCAGATTTGCCATTCAGCCACAATGTAGAATATTCAGTAATTGTAGATGATTTCAATGTCTTATGCCCTATGTCATTATGGATGCTCTTTGATATACCCCTGCCTCTCATCTTATTTGTCATGCTAATTATCTATCCATTTTTCTTGCAGAAATTGCTGAAGTAGCAGTGTTTTTGGCTTCAAAGAGAAGTAGCTATATCACTGGTGCCTGCATTGATGTGACTGGAGGAATGTGATGGGTTTTTATACTTATCTTGAACCTTTCCCATTTTCTATATTTTAGACAGACATTTTATATGATTCTTTGGTCCCATGGTGACTGGTAGCTGTGGCCTCCCTTGGTCCTATTCTCTATGAAATTCAGTTTGCAAAGACCCTTCAGTATTTATCTGCTCATACCATGGCAGTGCTAATTGCATTTTTTTGCATTTCAGGTTTAGCCTCAAAAATGACTCCAAGAACTGCTTTAGAACAGTTCTTGACTTTGTCATTGGAGTTAGGCTGAGTAATTTCTAGTGAAATGAGTTGATCAGCAAATCTTTATTTTTATTGGTGAAATGAAAAGGGTCAGTTTTTAAAGGGAAAATCAGCAGATCTAGAAAAAGACTGAGCAACCATGCTAGTAAATATGACCACTTCTGAAAGTTCAAAGTGCAATGGAAACGTTTTCAGCCTTAAATTCTTCTCCTTAAATTTTTCATTTTGATGCTGTTATGCTTTTTGTACATGTCTCCCAGGCCTACACAAATTGAAAACAATCCAAGTTAGACAGTTTCACTATCTTGAGTGAATGCAACCACTTATGTGGTTGCATTCCTAAACTCTGAATGGGAAAAAGCCATTTGTCATGTCAGTTCAATATGGTTCTATCTGTAATTCAAGCAAATTAAAAAGAAATAACTTCAAAGTCCAGCATTTTCCCTTGGTTTTATGTTGAAATTTCTCTATTCAAGCTTCTAGATGGCCCTACATTATTAGTGTTCAATGAAATAGCAGCACATTGTGTGGAAGTGCCTCTAGAGATAATTACTTTGGAATTAGACCAATTTTCATTTTCAAAAAAGTCAGATAGAATCTTGTTGAACTGAGGTGACAATTTCTCATGATGTGTACTAAAATATTTATTTGCTAAAAATATTGTTATCAGTTAATGCATCACTTTTTCTTTTCTCACTGACAATAGATATTGGACATATTTTGATATTCAATTAGATTTTAAAATCACCAACGCATTTATCATTTACAGTTAGCTCATGGTGTTTCAGGTTTGTCCAAGGAGAGCCTTGAAATGATAGTGCCTCCCCTCAGTAGAGAAGATAGATGTAGCCAGAAAAGTCAAATGGTGTCATCTGAAGGGCATGTTATTCCACATCTCTCTTAGGTGTCTCAAAAGTCCCCAATGGATCACCAAGAAAAATTTTTTAATCTTTAATCGTCTATCACTTTAACATTTTTGAGTATCCCCAGTAATGTGTTTTCTGCTTCCTCCAAGAATCTTTCTTGCAACATCAGTGCAACTTTTCCTTTTGTATCTTTTCTCAAATGATTTCCTTGGATTCATGGAAAAATTTGTTAACAGCAATTAAATTTGTGCCACATGAATCAATACCCCTTCTACAGTTATCTTCTGCAAATTTTCACCTTTTCTACAGTTCTGGCTAACCATTAACCCTTCATGGTCCACTGTTGAACACAGTCCAACAATCTCCACAGTGTTATAAATAAAATGGACTGCAAAGGGTTTAACATGTATAAAAAAAAAAAGGCTGTACAGCATCACTTGCTATAAGTATTATAAATGCATGAATATGACCAAATCTATGTCTTCTCTTGGTATCACTCACTAATGAGCCAGTCAACATTTATCTGAAAAGACAGAAATAATGCCAGGTGTAGGCTATGACAATCAAGTAGCTTGGCTTTTGCTGTTTCATATATTGCAGGGGGGCTCTATAATTTCTAGGCACCCTATACGTTAAATAGTGTGCTAAGGAAATTTGAGATGACATAATGTTTGCATCTTTTTCTCTCATTGCTTATCTCATGTAGGAATTGCACTGCTACTGCTTGATAAAACTCTGCAGCATCTTCTGTTGTGACTGGACTAGTAAAGTGAGATGTGAGAGTCTGTATTGGGAAAGTGTTTACTGAAACCTAAAATCACTTTAATGGAAAAATGAGTGAAGAGAGTAATAAGAAGGGTGATAAAAGCCTTGGGATCCCCAAGGAACTTCAATCCCATGCTATCCAAGAGGCTCTTCAGAAGGGCATTGACCTTCGCCAGTATTCCTTGAGCATTGAAGAGGAACTAAAGAAGGTATCATATTTGATTGGAAGATAGCTACACCATCTCTTTTTTTGGTATCAATTCTTGTCTAATCCTTCTTTTAGGTGGAGAATGCTTCCATCCAAGATTACATCAAAGAGAGTCATAACATAGCCAATCTCCATAATCAGATTTCTGCTTGTGATGATATTCTTCAGGTAAAGTTCCTTCATGGTTTTTATATTTGTCTCATCTAATTCTAAATTATAATTCTACTTTCCCCTTATGATGTAGAGAATGGAGGAGATGCTACGAGGCTTCCAGTCTGATCTGGGTAGCATTAGTGGTGAAATCGCAACTTTGCAGCAACATAGTGTGTCCATGAATGTTCAGCTGAAAAACAGGCAGGCAATACGTGGTCAACTGAGCCAATTCATTGATGAAATGATTGTACCAGAAAACATGATAAGGTCAGAATTTGTCATCTAACTCTGGTTTAAATACACATGTTGGGAGTTGTTATGCTCTGTGTTGTATTATTTTTGGGGCTGCTATGTGTTAAAAAATTTAATTGCTTACTCATAGATTGATTAATAATAGCTGGTTAATAATTTTAGTTGGCCCTCAAGTCCTTCTCCAACTACTCGAGAAAATGTAGAGCCAATTGCATAGGCTCAAACTAACACTATAACAATGGTATTATGGTGTGGTATTTGCATATCTTCCCCCAGACAGATAACAGAATTCTACTTGCATCAGTATTGTGCTGGTGACATCCTATGCACTTTGCCCTCAACTCTTTCCCTGGTGTCTGTAATATTATGTCAACATCCTTGAAATGTTTGGATATCCATGCCAGGGAAAGGGTTATTCTGTGAATGGAATGACAAGTGCTTTGAGGTTGCTATCTGGTTTCCTTATCTTGATTAATTAACTTTCTGCCTCAGTATCTTAATACTTTTGGGTTATTAAAGACATTTATCACCCAGCATAGACATAATCCATTCAAGTGATTATTTGGAAACCTATTGACTTTCTGTTAATCTTGCTTTTGTCATTTTATAATTATTACAGTTTTACTTGGTTAGTCATTTTTATTGACATGGTGGAATTGGCAGTCCTGATTATTTTGCATACCAGTACATATCATTCTGCAGAACTATCCTGGATTGTCCTGTCACTGAGACTGACTTCCAGGAACAGCTGCTCATTCTTGACCAGAAGATTGCTTTTGTGAAGGAACAAAGTTTCAGAGGTAAGACTCAAGCGTCCAACTTGACATTTTGTTTTCTGTTTTTTTCTGACTTTGCTTTGCAATAGGCAAAGACAGTAAAGAACAATAAAAGTCAGAGTCAAAGGAGGCAAAATAATATGCAATGTAGAAGATATTTAAGCCTACATCTATGTGAGGCATAAGATGTAGAAAGTGCAAATTCTCAAGACAGAGTTCCAAATGTTTTTAGCCTGATTTTTTAATATTCATATTGATTGTCTTGGCAATTAAAAGTGTTGGAGTCAATTTTTCTCCTATGTAAATGGCTTTAAAATGAAATTGAAATAATTGATCATTATACAGAGAAAATGTTTTACCGTTTTTCCAGAGGCTAGATCTGTACAAGATGTGAGAGATGTATTGGAAAATCTTAAAATCAAGGTGCTTTCGAAGATCCGAGAATTCCTTCTGCAGAAAATATATCAAATGAGGAAGCCCATGACAAATTACCAAATGCCTCAGAATGCAATGTTGAAACACAAGTGAGTCTGATCACTTGGTTATTTACTGGAGGTGATTTTTTTTTTAATGAAGCTTGTAAGGAATTTAATTGTGCATTTTAATTTTCCAGATACTTTTACCAATTCTTGATGAGTCATGAACGGGAAATTGCCAAGGAGGTAAGAGATGAATATGTTGAAACTATGAGTAAAATCTATTTCTGCTACTTCAAGACATATATGTCACGTCTCATGAAGCTCATGGTGAGTGATCATTTGTGAGATATATTACAACATTTTGCATAATGCAGCTTCTCTGGCATCATTGGCATTTTGTACTTAATTCTGGTATATCTTATGGAAACTTTGTCATACAGACAGAGGAAGTTGCCACAAAGGAGGATCTCCTTGGTGCTGAGGAAACTGTTCGCTTTAGCCTCTTTAGCACAAAGCCTTCTATGAGGAATAAATCCACTGTCTTCACAATTGGACAGAGAGCTGAAGTGCTTACAAGTGAACTGGAAGCTCCTATCATGGTTCCACACACATCTCAGCAAACAGGGAAAAAAGTAAGTTTAACTATAGATTCCCTTGGATTGTTTTGCTATAGTGTCATGGAATGTGAATGGAGTAAAGCTTGGAATGCATCTGTCAGAATTTTTTTTTTGCTTTGCTGTGTACTGCCTAAGAATAAAAGTAATGTATTTCATGAATATATCTTGCAGGGGGCAATATTTTTTAAATCTAGGCTGAAAGATTTATGATGGTCATTGATCATATTCTTTTGGCCAATTATGTTGATTGCAAAGAGAAGTTGCCCAACTATTGGAACTATTGGAAGCCCAACTATCAGAATCAAAAGTAATATGTTGTCAATTGACTGATGAATGAATTCCTTTACAGTACCCATTTGAGACCTTATTCAGGAGTGAGCAATTTGCTCTTGTTGACAATGGTTGTCGAGAGTACCTTTTCCTGAGTGAATTCTTCATGGTACAAGATAACCATGCCATGGATCTCTTCAATTCAGTCATGGGACGAACAATATCTCTTTTCCAAGTAGGGTGCCATTCCTCCCCCTTGCATGCATATGTTGATGTTGCTATGAAAATATCTATTGTTTTGATTGCAGAGGCAAATGGAAACATTTGTTTTGGAGAGTTGGGATTCACTGTCTCTATTTTTGTGCATCCATTTGATACATCGATATAGGCTTTTGTGCCACAAGAGGGCTGTCCCAGCTTTGGACCATCATTGGGATGCTCTCCTCAAGTTACTCTGGCCACAGTAGGTGCTTCATCCCAAAGTTCAGGGTGTCCATAGAGTCATGCTGAAGTTTAAAAAATTCATAACTTTTCATGTCTTCAAGGGAGGCTAATGAAAGTTGGCAGTTATTTAAAGCATTTGAAGTATATGAAGTGTGTGAAGTGTAATAACCATAAAAATACCAAGGTGTTGGAAAATTAACATGCAAAAATTCAAGTGACCAATAGGTGAGACTCAAAACCTCAAAGTTACTATGCTATAAAAATCATTACTTTTAACTATAGTCTCCTGAAAAAAAAGAGATCCCTGGTTTGCAATAGAGAGGTATGAGCAATTTTTTAAAATGTAATATGGTTGGATGGAGCTAGTGGAGCTCTTAGTGGTGTAGTAGGTTACCTATTAGTTATGAATTTGGTGTCATTGATAAGCATTACATTATAATGCATTTTTTCAAAAAAGTTTGGAAAAAAATTACTGACTAAAACTAGTTTTTCCAAAACAAAAAGAGGGTTTTCTGTAGAGCAATGGTGCTGGGCATGAGATCATAATCAGCCAATGACTCATTGGTCAAAAATGGCCAACATTATAGCCCTAGAATTATTTATTGGCAGTTAACAGATGGCTGGATCAATTCCAAAAAGAACACATTATCTTTTGCTCCATCTTTGGAGAAAGAGGATTTAGAAAGGAGATTATTCATCTCTCTAACTGTAGTATACCTATATAATTATGTATAACTCTGTGTTTGCTGATTGCTTTTGATGTGTAGAAAGCATTTAATCTATGAATTATCTTTCCTTCTTTTATCAGTTTTGAGCAAATCCTTATGCTGAATCTACAAAGTCTTCATGACTGTGACCCTCATAAAATAGCAGAATATGACATTCACCCTCATTATGTAAGTTTTGTTCTGCTCTTGTCCTGGAAATACATCACAAATTTTAGTGGTTTGTTTTTCCCTATACTGTGCTGTACTGACTACTCATTTGCTTGTTCTAGATCTCCCGTCGCTATGCAGAGTACAGCTCAAGCTTGTGTTCCCTGAATGACAGCTTCCCAACAGATAATTCTCGTGTGGATAAGCTATTGCTTCTCCTCCAGACAGAGATGCAAAATCTCTTGTTGAAGATGGCTGCTGTTTTCAGGGATAGAAAACACCAGCTCATGTTTCTCATCAATAACTATGATATGATGCTCAGCATATCAGTTGTAAGATAGTGGACTTGGCAAAGCTATAACATCTCATTAGCAATTATCAAACCTTTCTCTGGGTTCTTCCATTTCAGGAGCGTACACGGGAAGATTCGAAGGAATCAGAGAGTTTCAGGGAGAAGTTGAATGCTTTGTCCAATGAATATGTTGAGCTGCTTTTGCAGCCACATTTTGGAGGCCTGTTGCAATTTGTTCAGGATTTAGAAGCACTTGGTGAAGATAACACTACCATGAAAGCTCAGGAAAGTAAGAAGTCAGTGTATCATGCTAGGCTATAAATTGGCTATAGTACATTTCATGGATTGTTTCTTGTTCTTTGCAGTGAAAGTGGTTACATTAGTAAAAGCATTCAATGCCAGCTGGAAGAAATCCTTGGATGATATAGACACTGAAGTGAAAACTTCCTTCCCAAATTTCAAGAATGGGAACAACATCTTACAAGCAACTCTTACTCAATTTGTCCAATACTATCATCGATTTCAGAAGATCCTTAGCCTCCCATCATTTAAGACTCTTCCTGTTCGATCTGAGCTCATCAACATCCATCAGCTTATGGTGGAAGTCAAGAAATACAAACCTGCCTTTTGATTTGAGAACCAGTTCATGGTTTAATGATGGACTGGAGTAAGCTCATTTTGATGGGTTCTCCTATACATTTCATATACATCCACAATCATAAGATGCACCTATGCCTTTGATCTGTGATATTGATAATTTTCTTGGTGAGTTCTGGAATGGCATATGGAATTGTATTCATTTGAAATATATAAACTATTGTTAAAGATTGTCTATAGGAGGATGTTTCTTTGACAAGAAGTGGTGGGTCTGATCACTTTTGCAACAAACATGAGAGGTTACTTGGACTCCAGTTAATGTCCTGAGTACCTGGATACTTGACTGTATGCCTAGTAATTACAAGGGAGTGTTGGAAAGTTTAGATATTTTATTTACGGAGACTGTGACCCTCCCTCAATTAGTTTTAAAGTTTTACCCAAGAGAATTACATGTTTCCCTTTGGAATGTCTTTAGTTTTCCTGTATACTTTGTCCCTTTATCAATCATTTCTAAGAATTGTAGGTGCCTGTATTCCTGTGATGAATAACTTGCAGCACAAGCAGTGAGCAGGACATCTCTTGTCCAGTGAGGACAAGAGATTTTATATTTTTGCAAAGGAGGTCATAGAGCTATCAAATATTGATGCACAAATGAAGGGTCTCCATAAGGACAGTAGTCTCAAGAAAGATACTGTCTACAAGTAAGTTGAATGCTTCTGGGGAGGTTAATGCAGTCACTGAGGCAGGCCCTGTTCAGCCATTGATGTTGAATATGTGGATGTCCTCGTCTAGAACAGTATTATCACCTCAACCAGTATTAGTATGAAAAGTGGGAAAAATTGTATTATACACAATAGGTGGTATAATGTATCATCCACTCAATGTGTTTTGATTGTTGTGCACTTTTAGGCCTCTTAATGGAAGACAAAGTCATGGCTTCTTGAATCTCATTGAAATTCCAATGTGACTTTAGTATTCATCCCATGGATTTGCAAACTGGTGAACACAGCTACCTGTCCTGTGCATATCATAGGAGGTTTGTTTAAGTCAATTCATAATTTTCCAACTTATTCATTTACTTTTTTGGGTTATTCATGGATGGTTTTACTCAAAGGGCAGTGTTGATAACTGGATGCATTGTCATCAAATGTGGTTTTTAAAGCTGCATTGTTAGGAAACACATAATGGATTACTTGGGTCTTGTGAAGGTGTCTTCGAGTTTCTGATTTGCCTTTGATTTAGGAAGCTCAATTCTGGATGGGAAATCCAAATTCAAGAAAATGCTGTTCCTCTGTCAATCTTGAGTCAACACAGAACTGTTCCATGGAACCAGCTCCGAGAGAGGTGGCAGATGCCAATAATGGATCTAATTGCTGATGTTGAATATGCTGTGGAAGAGGCTGAGACTCGTACACCCTCAATTGAAGATGGTATTGGTGACTTGGGGGAAAAAGGAAGGCAAGATCACCAGTTCAATATTCTAGACTCAATAGAAGAGTTATTTGTATTGCGGCAAAATTTGCATTGGAATCTCCACTGTCATTGTCCAGGTAGTACTTGTTTGCTGCAGGGAGTAATCATGACAGTATCTATTGTACACTGTGTCAAAAAAAATGTGGCCACTTTATTTTTTAAGTATCTCAATTCTGTCTTCGTGTGTCCCTCACATTTTTCAGGCCATTAAATCTTAGATGAATAAAAAATATTTCAGCCAATTTAAATACAATTTTAACCAGTACTTCAAATGCCTCAAACTTTTCAAAATTGATGTATCAAAAATTGCAGTGAACAACCAATCTTCTCACTCCTCCTTGCCAGGTGCATCCTTTGGAACACTCCAATATGAGTACAGGCAGCAGGCAGTCTCTCCAAAGAAACTAGTTTTTCATGCTTCTCAGTTGTTTTCACTGTTACTTTGGGTTGCCAGGTTGTCTGTTCTACATTCTAATAATTTTCAGTAGGCCTTTGGCTTAAATCTGTCATTTCATGAATCACAGTATTCAAAATTGTGAGGGGCATCATGGGATTCAATGAATAGGGCAAACACCTGATTAAAGGCTTGTGAGAGATGAAGGGGTACAGCTCTTGCCACTTGAATAAATCCCTTTGGGAAAAAAGGTGACATCATGGTCTGTATATGTTGTGAAAAAAATTGCTGAAACTGTATTGATTGGAAGAAAACATGGAAGTGGCAGACCATGAAGAAGCCAAACTATAAAAAATACTGAGATTGTGGAAGAATTGGTCCTCAATCAAAGAGGGATCAAAACCAGTTTCATTGGTGAGACTGCCTGCTACCTGTGTTGTCGCTTTGGAGAGTGCTGAAGTGATTCACATAGCAACTTGTTCACTGTGATTTTCAATACTTCAACTTTAAAAAGCTATTGCATTTGAAGCACTGAGTGAAGTTCTTTTTAAATGCACAAAAGCATCAGCCTTGCATGATACCAAATGGAGATATTTAAGAAAATAAACTGGGCTCCTTTTTTTGAGACAGTATATATTGGGTCTGACATTAAACCTTCCAAAGCCACCAGAATTGGTTGTGCTTCTTGGGTATCATGAGGCATGCATATGGCTCTTATAGAGAACAACATGAAGTCACTTCAGAGAATTTTAGATTATTGCTCATGCTTGTTGTTGGGGGTCAGTTACAAATTCAAAAAATCTATATCTGAAAAATATGTGTGGATGATGCTTTGAATGAAGTCATATGTTGTATGTGCACATGATTCATATGTTGATGTCTGGAATTTAACACCTACCTATGGACTGGAGTACCAGATCTATTTTCCATGAATTCAGAAGGAAGTAGACCTTGGCAATTTGTATTTTGTTTCAGGGGAGATGATCCAAGAGTTCTTCAGGAAGGTGGCATTATAATGGGTTCCAGTCATGTCACAGGGCAAGACTCATCCCCTGTAGTCATTCGTACCCCTCATGATCCTTTCTCTGGGGATACCATGAACAGGAAAAATGAAGTTTCCTCTAAAGATAGTTGGAAGCCACCATATGAGCATGATAAGCTTACCTCCAGGAATTATTGCCACCATCCCTCACCATCTAGCCTTGTTTTGGATGGATTTTTCCTTGGTCCCATGCTGTTCTTGGGCCTGTCTATCATGATGCACACTGCCATCTATCATTTTGTTGCTCATGAAGCTCTTTCTACTGAGTATCGTGGCCATAGTCCTGTTTTCAAATGGGAGCACTGTCTTCTGAATCTGAGGAAGTCTTATCCAGCCCAACATCATCATACATGGGAGAGAATCATAGCAGCATCTAGGAAGCTTGTACTTCCAAGTGGGAGCTCCTCACCTGGTGTCATTCTAGTGATCAACCCTGACTCAAATGCAAAGTGGCTACAAAGACTGGAAATCTTCACATCAACAATAGCTTCCTGTGTTGCAGATGCCCTTGATGACCATGATATTTATCGAGTTCATGTCCAATCTGGGTGGTTGTTCTCTGGGACTAATCTTGGAGAGCTTGAAGTCTTCATGACACAAAAGCAGCATCATGCAGTTGTGATATCAGGCCTTGAGAACATGGATGATGCATGGTATGGCCATCATTTAATTTCTTTGTTAGAAAAGGACAAGTCTGTTCATCCTGACTGCTTAGTCATCCTGGAAGTGTCAATTGACACCAAGGTTCACAACATCTCCAGAATAGAAGCCCTTAAGGAATTGGATGCCAGGGAATATAAGCAATTCCTCCTTGATCTTTCAACCAAGCACTTGTCATCTATCTGGAAACTTTCCTTCTCATCTGATGTGATCAACACACTCCTATCCAACATCATTCACAATGCCATCTTCATTATTCCAGAAGTCAATACAGAGACATTTGCTTAAATACAACTCAGCTGAATCTTCCCTCAGGATTTTTCCATCTCAGATTTAGATGAGCAAATTATTTTTTTTTTACAGTCTTTCAGGGGATTAGCTTGTGAAATGTCTAACTATGAAATTCAAGGTTTGCAATCAGGAAAATTGTGTGAGCATTCTGAAGGTGTGTCCTAACTAGCATGTACAGGGTATAGCAAAAAAAAAAAATACCAATGACTTTCAATCTAAATATCTTCTAGTGGAGGGCACACTCGAGCCCCATCCCTAGGAGGTGGCAAAGCAGGAGGGTCGACGCTCGAGTCTGTCCTTCATTCCACTACCAGCAGGAGCTCTTGTCCATTCTCAATGTCTAACTTCTTTGCAATAATTGCTGATAGAATTGCTATGTCACAAAAAATTTGGGTGAAATTTGAGGTACCAGTCGGAAACATACTCATATGCAATGTGAAAGTTTCACCAAAAAAAACTATTGAGGGAAGATATTTAGGTTGAAAGTCGTTGGTCTTTTTTTCTTGCCATACCCTGTATATAAATTGTCATTCTGTAAGCTTTTTCACTCCTTACCTGCTTTCAGACAAGAAATTGATCCCTTCTGACAATGGACATCAGTGCAGCATGAGTTTATATTATTTCCTGAGAATGAAGTCTTAATTTTTTATTATCTCATGTGGTGATTGTTCCCTAGTCTCTATGGCATGTACTTGAGAGGACAGTACTGTGCATAGACAAGGAAAAACTCTTTGAGATAGCAACTTCTATCTTAATTGGAATCAGTGAAATCATTTACATGATTGTTACTCTTCCAGGGCAAATTTATTAGTGGCTCTTGAATTTTTTAGCAAGTTTTTACTGTCTGGGAAAGATGCCCTAAGAGGCAACACAATTCTTGCTTGTACTTCAACTGAGGTCTTCACATGAATCAATTGCATGGTCCTTGCCACCTGTTGGACCACTTGGGATACTCATTCCATGAAAAGGTTCCTCTCAAATGTCCATATCTTAAGCAGTTACTCCCAAGTAAATTGATTTTTAGCTTGGTATAGTCTTCATCCTTTGTAGGCAATTCTGAGAAATTCAAATGCATTCCTTCAAATGGCATCATGATAATATGTAAATAATGTTATCTCTGGCCATCTACAGAGACATTTTTCATTCATCTGGTGAAGGGAGAGCGATCAGATTCTTCCCTCCTTCCCCCACCAAGATAAACGTCACTGCATCTTTTTCCCATTTCCATCCTGTTCTGTTTATCCCTGCAGCATGATTGCTTCTAATTTTTGGTACACATGTTTGGGTGTCTCCTGGTTTATGCCAAATCATCTCAGTAAGTTTTGCATGGATTCTGCCAAAATTATGCTTTTCCTTGAAGATCTCTTTAAATGCCTGATCTCGTCATCTAATCCTCAAATGCATGAACTTGAGAAAGTCAGAAAATTGTGCATATTGCTTCACATGGCATTCTGTGACAAGAAGAGAAGGCAATCCCTGCCAGCTCTGCATGATGATGAACCTGGACGTTTGGCTTGTTTTTTTTTGTCATTCAGCTAGTGATCCTTCAAGGAGTTGTGTCTTGCACTGGGTCAGACTTCATGGTTTCATTAAAAAAAAACTCCTTATTGGTCTACCTATCAATTATGGGCAGACTTCTCGTTGTTCTATCAGCAGACTTTTGAACAGTGAAGGATGTGAAATTCCTCCATTAAATGTTATGCTGCCGATGAGGAAACTGCATTTTTAGTAATGCTGGTAAGTTTGACAATTGATTACCTTGTGGTCATTTTTCTGATGATAGCAAAGCCTGAGATAATCTCAACTTTGTCTAAGTGAGCATTGTGTTCAACCTGATAAAAAGGTACATTGTTATATACTGTACGAACTTATGAATATTCGAATGAAAATGAAGTCTCCGATTTCAAGGGTGATGCAGAGCGAGAATCTTATAGTTAGAATGGTTCTTGCTTTTTATTCTGCCCTGGAAAGACTTGTCATTTTGTGTTTGAGCCTTGAAGTAATAAATGTGCTTCATTCTTATGAATAAAACTCGAAATTGGACTACAGTTGAACTACTGGTTGTTGTCAATGAAAGCAACTGTCTATGGGGCAGATAAGGAGATCCAACTACTTGAAGGTACCGCAGGTATTGTCGAGATATGGAGGAGGAAGCAACCTTTCATCATGGCAGAGCAGTCCGTCGCACGTTGCTGATAGGGAGGTATCCTCTCCTGAGGGTGATGTCATGGTACTGTCTCGTGAAGTCCAAAAGTATGTAGGTATAGGCGGCCATGAAAAAGGAGAAGATGAGCGTGAGGAAACTCATGAAGCAGCAGAGGATAGGGTCATCGAGCCATCCACGGTAGCGTCCTGGAACGTGCGCTCGCTGAGCATTATCAATGGATGCTAGGTAAAGGCCTTGTTCGGGCGCTCCACAAACTTTCAAATCCTGGTCAAACTGATCGTGAAAGATACACTGACCTCCACTTCCTGAACTTCATCGTATTCGTCAGCGAGGGAAAGTTCACCCTCCAACGTGAGAGCATGGGCAGATTCAGATTTCTTGTTTCCGCCGAGCCTTCGCCTTCGATTCAATGTGGGAACATGATTCTTGCAGGGACCGGCTGGGGCCGAAAAACATCTTCGGGCGGGTAGGCGGGGAGCCATTGTCTTATCCCTCAATTTGGTCTTATTTATCAGACTGAGTAAACCCTCTGACGGACCATTTCGAAATGTGATCAGATCGTCACGCCCCACTCCTTCCTCCTGCCGCGGGAAGGGAAATGAGAAAGAAGTATAAGCTTAAGTTGAACAAGTATACGCGGTATCCGCGACACCGATTGTCACAACAATCCCAATAAATCAGTAACTGAAACTTCTTTGAATGAAGCATATGCCAGCGAGCTGTGGAAAATGGAGCATGAACAGGTACAGAAGCAAGAAATTGTTTGGCCGCGCATATGAGACTTTATTAGTTTTTCTCAAAACAATTTCTGTCGTAAGCGATTTCATTTCATGGAAATCACCGCATCCAAAGTTATCCAAACAGCGAGAACGCCGAAGTTAAGGTCGAATTCTACATATGGAATTTTCGTCGCATTCCGAGAAGGAAATTTTTGGATGTTCACATTCATGCGCACTTTGAAAGTGCTCACTTTGATACCGTGCACTTTGAAAGTACTTTCTTGAGCATATAACAGCGCTGCCCAACCTGCGGACCGCGGTCCGGATCCAGACAGCGACTCCCATCCTCCGGACAGCAGACTGAGGTTGCTATTTGTCCGGTATTTCCCAGACAGCTCCGAATTATGAATTTCTGTCTTCCCAATTATTCCTGTTTCTGTCAGGTGTTGATCTCCTCCCCCATTTCCGAACTTTTATGGCTTCTTTCCCCTACCCCTCTCCTGCGTTGATAGGGATAATGAAGTCTCGAAGCAGGGATGAAGTTCCAAATACCTAATTTCCTCTATGCTGAAAGATATCTCCTCATTTGACCGCATCCCCTCCGCCCCTCCTACCTCACCGATCTTCATATTTCTTGACAAATCCTTCCCCAAGTAGCACACTCATGGTGAATCAACGTTGACTCAACGTTATTGCGTCAACAGAGCTAACGTTGAAACCACGTGGGCCTGTCAACATTGACTCCATATCAAAAATCCATTTTCTTCAACCTTTAAGAAATGTTGAATCCACGATGGTTCTACGCTGATATGACAGGTTTCAACAATCTGCTTAATTCGTGCGCATGCTCTGTTTCATTACTGAAATATTATTTGAATATCACCTGGACACGATCTCATCCTCCGAATGCGTTTCCTGGCAGATCGGCTGAAGTAATTGCAAACACTAATGGAGAAAAAAATCCTAAAGGTTGACACAACGCAAGAATCCAATGAACCAATTTCATTTATTGCAGATACTTCCACCGTGAATAGAGGAGCATTAAATGAATGTTGGCCCAATGTAGGTGCATAAACGGTGACGGTCACCGCTTTGAATCAATGTTGATGTAATAACATTAGTATTTTCATCCGTCAAAAGTGATACATTCAATCCACACTTTGTCAACATTGATTCAATGCCTCATTCCAAACACGTCGGTGTCTGTATCGGGAATGAAAATGCCAGATTTGGTCAGATTTCGAACCCCTGATCTCGGTCAAGTGAGCCCAGCATGCTATTAGGCGAGCCACTGACCCCCGAAACTTCGCGGATATAACTCGTTGGTGGCTCACCGAGTTTTAGTTGCAACACGACGAATGTGTGACGCAGAACCCTCCGAGATTCAAGGTTTTCCATCGATTCCGGTTTCTTTCGTATATCATATAAGAAAGGTGGAAGAGTTTCCCGACCAGGAGCTTCTAAATGCGTCCACATTTAATTACCAATATCTCAAAAGTGGAAAGGTCAAATTAAAAAAATTAACTTCCCCCAGTAGTCCATAATATTGAATCAACATTGATTAAGTGCTGATTCAACGTCTAGATAATTATTCAATGTTAGGTGCTACTAGGGTCACCAATGAAGTCAGAGGGCTTGATGACCCCATAAAATGCCTTTCTTTACACTTTCGTTCACTAGTAAGGTACATGCCTGAATTTGAACATTTCTTCAAGTCAATCCATTTATTAGCTTTAAGGAAACAACAAATGTGATTTTTTATTGAATCTCTTTTTTTTTAATTTTCCGTTTGTGTTGAGACAACTCCACCATGTCAGATGCACAAGAGAATTTTTTTCGTTTCACTTTCTGCTTGTTTGCTGTGACAAAATTTGTGCCAAGCGTAGTTTCAGCCACCGTCTTATCTGCATTAAATCTAGCATTTTTCTTGATCGAAATGCATTCTGGCCGATTGGCTCAACTATTTGACGAACTCTGATGGAGTACACAAAAAAAAATCCTAACGGTTGGCTTGAAACACAAGGGATTTTGTATTGCAAAAGAATCCGTTGAATCAATGTTGATTTAATTTTGACACTTCCACCGTGAATAGTGCAGCATTGAATCAATCTTGAACCAATGTGGGTGCATAAACGGTGACGGTCGCCGCGTTGAATCAATGTTGATTCAACATACAGGTATAACCCTTCAACAGTGATACATTCAATCCACATTAAGTCAACGTTGAATAAATTATATGTGCTACCTGGGTCCCAAAGAAATAACCTAATGCGACATTATCTGATAAAGAATGCTATCTCTAGCGCAAAAATTTTACTTCCGGACCGCGAGACAGGCGGGACATCAGTTAAATGGACCTTCCCACCAAACAGTTGAGCACCCCTGGCGTATAATATCTCACCTCCAAAAAAGGGGAATTTTTGAACGCGTAGTGTTGCGACCGTGTTGAAAGGCAGGTCTCTTTATGGTTCCTTCGTTGAACCGCATGCCTGCTGTTTATATTCTTCATGTGATCAGAAGTGATTCCCTACGCCTGAGTGATCAGCGAGATATATTTATTTAAGATTTAGCGTAGTGTATTTTCTACGAGCTAGGATTGCACAGACAAAGCAGCACTATGTTGTCCCTTGAGGGTGTTGTATACTCCCATACAAAAGCACCTTCGGGGCCGTTCACAGATTACGTAACGCAAGGGGGGGAGTGGGGGATCAGACAGAGTGCCTCCCTCCGAGTGTCTGCCTCCCTCCCCTTGCGTTACGTAATTTGTGAATTTGTTCAGGGGAGAGCGCAGCAAAAGACGGTGTGTACCTGAGATCATTTCGTTCAATGAGCGTTGAATTACGTTGCAACTGCATCATGGGTCAGTGTTTTTCTTTCCCTTCGTGTTTCCAATAGTAATAAATGTGATGAGACATAAGAATTGTCCATATTCGCTGAGTGTTGAGTCAGTGCAGTTTAATGCTCGGAATAGACGGAAAATGGGGACCCTCGTGCGACGTGGGTCCCCATTCCTAACGAGACAGTGAACGTGTGTTAAAAATAAATTGGAAGCCCAATTAAAAGAATATAGACCGATGGAGGAGGATCGAGGGAAATTAATCGAATTCCCTCAAAAAGAGACATAGAAAAAAAGGGTCAGGATAATTATTTCAGGAAGTAACGGGAGGAACGACCCTACACCCTGGTAGAAGCAGCTAGCTGTTCTGACGGATGAGCGATTTTAATCTGATTCTCGTTGAAAAAATCCCTCCCCAGTCGAAGTGAGGGCAGGCCCCAGTCATGACAACCGGTTATGAGCTTTTTTTCTAATTTTTTTCCCTATCCCTTAGGCGATCCTTCAGTCGCTTCCAGTCCTGAAGCCGTCTCTCAACACGAATAGTGCACCCGGCTTCGCAACTCAGTCCGGGACACAGCCCATCTTCCGTCTACGACGCATTACACACGTCAGTGTATGTTTCCTTCCTTGTGAGGACTTGGGAATGTGAGAGTGCATTGGCCTCTGTGAACACTTACCCTGTCACTCCCTCAAGGACCCAGACCCCGACGGGTTTGCCGATGTTGATTCAAACCGAGGGTTTCCCCGAATACGTCAAAATTCGTGATTCTATACATTTTTAATACTTCCCTCCTGCTCCTATAAAAAGTGACTTTCTTCTCATGTGAAATCGTGAGCAGGATAGCGACTCCAAGGATTCATTTTCGAAACCGGTACTAGCTGTCGGCGGAGTGACCATGACCTGCACCAGTCTCAAGTCCGTATTGAAGCGCCTTTCCCGTACTAGAAAGCTGGATAATGCTTCTAAAATGGAAACTCCTCTACTGCGGTGCCTCACCACATGTCAGGCTACCCTCCTTGGTATGTTAAAATCACTAACGAGTTTTTAGTAGGATTCCTGAGCTCCTCAGTCGGTACCAGCTCTTACTAAGGATAGTGTCCATTCTTCTTTTGACAGGCATGGGGACCATGATCGGCGCAGGTGTTTACGTATTGGAGGGAGGGGTCGCACGCGAAGAAGCTGGGCCTTCTGCTATCCTGTGCTTCCTCTTTGCAGGCATTGTAACCTTGTTTGCAGCATTCTGTTTTGCGGAATTCGGAGTGCTGATACCAAAAGCCGGTTCCGCTTACGTCTACACTTACATCACCCTTGGGGAATTCTGGGCATTCCTCATCGGATGGAATCTGCTCGTATCGACTATCTGTGGTGAGTTATTTCCGTCATAGGTCTGCCATGCAGGATGCATTGCCAGTCTTCAAGGCCATTCCGATGTTCGTTTGCCAGTGGCCGTCCCTCTCTGTCATACCTTCAGTGGCTACGTCGACGATTTGGCGAATGGATTTATCCGCAATAGCACTCGAGCCATATTCGGAACCATGGATGTTCCTTACTTGCAAGCGACACCCGATATTATCGCCTCTTTGCTGTGCCTCGGAATGGTCCTGGTCAAAGTGAGCGGTGTTCGCACCTCGGCCATCGTCAATAATTTCGTGACCATCACCAATTTCTGTGTGATCCTGTTTGTGATCTGTGCTGGGCTGTATTTCGCCGACGGGGCCAACTGGAAAGGTCCATTCTTCCCCATGGGATTTGCTGGATTCCTTAAAGGAGCAGGGACGTGTTTCTTCGCTTACCCGGGCTTCGAAGACATCACGTTCGCCAGTGAGGAGATGATCGCACCTGGGAAATCCATCCCCATTGCTATCTGTGTCAGCATGGGTATCTCGATGGCCTTGTACATGTTGTTCAGTGCTGCGCTCACATTGTCAGTTCCGTACTCCACAATTGACACCGTAGCTGCCGCTCCGAATGCCTTGGCGAGGCACGGACTCCACTGGTCGAAATACGTCGTTTCTGTCGGTGCCATCAGTGGAGCCCTTAGTGCCCTCTATGGGAGCCTGTTCATCAGTTCCCGAGTCACATATTCCATGGCCCAAGACGGTCTTCTGTTTCCTATTTTAAGTCGAGTGAGCAAAAGCACAAGGACTCCCACTGTGGCCGTCGTCGTCACCGGTTGCACGTCCGCCTTCCTGGCTCTCATTTTCGAAACGAAGGACATGATCAAGATGACCAACATTGGGGCATTGTCGGCCTACATCATCGTCAGTGCAGCACTGGTTCTGCTTCGCTACGACCCTCCGATGGACTTGGCCCACATGTCTTACTCCATCCATAAAGGTCGAAGAAGATACTCTCCAGCGTTTGAGGATAGCGATGACGAAGAGGTTACACAAATGCTTTTCGGTTTGATTCATCGCTTCATAGTTTTGGGATGGTGGGGAAGGGAGTGAGTTTGGTTAAGGGTAGTGTATTCCCGAACGTAAGTTACTTAAAAAAGATGTTCGCTTTTAAGCTATAGTCACACCGGGGTTCAACCGTTTCAGGAGCTAGTCACAACCTAAACACGACGTAACTCGTGCTTTGATTGCCATCTGATCGTCATCTCGTCAGAATAAGCATGAAGCATCCTCGGTCGAAGCATGCTTGCTTTGACCGTGAGGGTTGTTTCAAGGTCGCAGCAAGCATGCAGAGAACGTGCTCTAGACGGAGCAAGAGGTTAACCCAGACAGCAGAAGCGTAACATAGCGGGTGAGAGTGCGAGGAGGGACAGTTGCCAAGCTATCATACCTTGACTCATTGAAGGATAATTAATTTAGGCACAACATATGATTAGGAATTTGGGATAAATAATGTTATTTCCCACGCAATCGCAGTTTTTAGATCTTGAATTGAGCTGAGTATTGCCAAAACCTTGAGGGCAGGGTGGTTCAAACACCAAATGGAGTGGGTGATGAATAATTGCCTGTATTTCCCTACCCCTTCGGTCCTCCAGCTTCGCGCCTTCATAAGTCGACCATAAGTTATGCTTATGCCAAAGAGAAAAGTCATCCAGGTGTCAAACTCCAGCTCACGTGAAAAGAGGCTTATGTAAACCAATTACGTAACAGTTAGGACTGGCTCGGAATTGTTACAAAGAAGAACAACAATGTCAAGGTCTGACACTGGAGTTGATCAGGTGGTTGACATACCCCATTCCAGTTTCTTTAGGTTCGTTGCCCCTTTGAAAAACGAGCGTCCCCTGTGCAAGTCTAGGTCTCGGTTAGTTAAAAAAAAAATGCATTGCTCGCAATGTATCAGAAGCTTCCTAACTGCTTGATAGGGCTCGAGCAGGAATACAATGCCCGAACAGCAGAGGAGAGTTCAGGTGCATTGTACAACAGGTGCTCCATCACACTAATGGCTCTGTAATATCTGAACGTTATCCTTCATAGTTCTTTTCAGTTACGATTATATTATCCCAATAGAGAAAGTGATCAACAATATAAAAAGAATTGACCCGTATTCATCTGTTTTCCCCGTCTTAAGTGTATTTCATTTTTCCTCACGTTTTGCCTGTGACGGATAAAGGAAAAGGCGTGCTTGGACCACGTCGTAATTTGCTACGCTGAGCTTTGGTCGGGACTAGTTTCAACAACCCATGTATACCATCCAACTGTCACAGCATTATTATTTTATTGTGGCTTATTATAGTCGCAGTCATAATATTGCTTTTGTTACAGTACGTAACATAAAGCCTGCAGCTGAAGTCATGAAGATAAAAGATACAATGTAGATCCTAAAGGTCTTCATATTTCACTCCTCCATTTAAATTTAAATTCCATTTAATAATAATTTTATTAATATATTTATAAATTAATTTATATTCAAATCAATATAAATTAATATTTTTATTTATTTTCATTAAATTAATATAAATTAATATTTTTATATTGTATTGTTTCCCATGCACTTGAGATCCAGCTGAAAACCGATATTGTATCTATAAACAATTTCGTGTAGTACTTTGAGTTGTATATCGAAAGCACACTATTGTAATACCAGGAGAGTATAAATGTAGGCAAGCAATACTCTGCGACGTCCTTGAGCAACGCTACGATAATGCAGAACTTGTCAGGGTATGCCACAGCCTATTTTGCAGCTTCTAACCGCTTGTAAATTATGTATCCGAGAGATTTAAGATTGTATCATCTCCTCAGAAGGCTGAGTGTAGAAAGGTAATGTTTTACTACGTAAATTATTCTTGTCATCGCATCTCGGACATAGACCGTGATGGAGAAAGATTTGCTTCAGCTGAAATCTGATAATCACCTAAAATAATATATTCATAAGTAAATACGTAAGTAAAGGTTAAATATCTAACATTTCACATATCTTACAACACTTATTCCATTCATTTCTTTTGCTGCTGGTATTTGACGACCTTTTTTCTTTTTTCTTCTTTCTTAAATTCATTTTTCCAGGATCTGACAAAACAGTTTTCTTGCGGCGTAGGAAGTCTTTGCCTTGGTGAAAATTCAATCTCCCTCTAGCTATCGAAGACTTAGAACTTTAGTTGACAATAATAGACCGAGGCTCCATATTTATATAGAGTTCATTTCCTTCTCTCTTCCCGCACAGGAGCTTCTTCCTTATACGGGCTGTGGGGCGAAAAGAGCGGTGCGAGCATGTCTTCAAGGAATCTCTAGGTCCCGGGTAGTTTCTACTTGCGTTCTTACGATCGTTGTCGCCGCTGCGGTCCTCGCCATCATTGTTCGAGTCAAGTACGATTCCCTTCTCGACGTCCAGCTTTCTACCATATTCGCCCTTGCCATCCCGACTATTGTCATTATCTCCTGTAAGTCACACAGCACGAAATGGAGAGTGATACTCCAGAAATACAGGACGGGGAGCGACAGCAACCAACTATTCCTTGAATCCCGCAGGTTCCCTCGTGATTGTTTGCTATGAGCAGAGGAGACTTTCATGCTCTTTCCAAGTCCCATGCGTCCCTTTGATACCAATCATCAGCATTGTGTGCTATGTCATACTAATGGTATCCCTGGATCAACTCACGTGGATCCTCTGGGGGGTCTATTCAACCCTAGGTAAGCCGATATGAGTCGGACGATCTATGGTGTAAGGAACTTTTCCCTCACTTGGGGTGAGATCCTCCATGTGATATATTCGTAGGCATCCTTATCTACTTCTTTTACGGAATGCACCATACTGACTACGAGACAGAGATCCGGTTCACAGAGCGCAGGCGACTCCTCTCCTCTGGCAGCTACTTCCATGCCCTCGGATGACCAGCCATCTCGACATCATTCAAACTTTATTTTCCCTTTTGGGATGATGTTATCCGTTTTGTCCTTCGTTTCTGCCTTCCGATTTTTTTTTAATATTTAAAATGTATGTGTTAATTTTTTCAGATTTCAAAAAAATTTTTGAAACTGTGATGGTATTTTATTAGTCATCCTCGAGGGAGTTAGCCTCTGAATCTATGCTCTACGGTCTCTCCGTGGGGAGCTGACAATATATAGCCACACAAGAAAGAATTTCGGTGCAAATAAATGGCATATTTCAGTTCTCATACTTCATTATACTTCATTGCAAGGATGCTCTAAAAGTCTCATTTTGCCATGATAGGGCATTTCTCACTTTTGCTGAGTCCTGTGAATAAATATGTGCAACATGCGTGAGACGCACGGAGACGGGCCAGGCAATTGAATTCTTTGCGTACGAAAAACAAACACCCACAGAACACAAGTAGATCCCAAAGATAAAGTTTTGAGTAGTAGTGACATAACTGTAACGTAACCGGATTACCGGAAAATTGTCACTTTTCTATGATTTTCGGCAGTTCGTGGGTTAGCTCGGATCAGGCTTTCTGCACCATATTCCAATCAATCCGTTTCGGATATGATTAGGTAACAATATTAAGTTCAGAATGCTACATGCGAATCATATAGAATTGGATTAGATGAATTTTGAAAATTGAAGAAAGCTCATTTCAAGTATAACTCTTTTCATCTTGAGATTTGAAATGGACTTTAATTTATCATAGTAAATAAATAAATAAATATTAATACATCACAGCAGGAAAATGAAATTGAGAATTGGAAGAGTTGCTGACACGTACATGATAAACATTAAAAATTTGTACTACAGAATGGTAATGGGTAGTAGGGTAACTTGGGGGAATATGGCCCTCCACGATGAATTCCCTTACAGACTGAGTAATTAGTTTGGGCGAATTAAAAAAATTGTTCTATCGAAGAGCCCACGCAATAGTCGAAATGTTTAGACCTGTTCATTGATCCAGTTCTCACAGGAATTTGGGATACATCGATGTCTTGAAAGTCATATGCATGCGATTCTTTGACTCATGACCCTGAAACTAATAGGAGCCTTGAGCAACTTAAGCGTATACAGTATTTCCATATACAAGGTAGCTTCAAAAAGTTTCCGGACTGATTTTATTTCAGCATTTCACGGACACTTAGGAACAATTATACACAATTTCCTTTAAAATTCTGCCCTTGGGCAACGACACACTTTTGCCAGCGTCGATACAGTTCCTCGAAACATTTCTGGAAGCCTCCACGCGCCACCTCCTTCAACGCCGTCTCCGGAGTCGCCTTAATCTCCTCTGCATCTTTAAAGTGGCGGCCCTTCAATCGGTCTTTCATGCGTGGGAAGAGGTAAAAATCATAAGGCGCGAGATCAGGTGAGTGAGGAAGCATTGTCATGGTGTAGCACCCAGATTTTGGTCGCCCACAATTCGGGACCACTCAAACACCTGCGTCCGCGACATTGTCCGCCATATACTGTCCGAAGCATCTGCAGGGTTTCCGTGGCCGATTTTCCCAAGCGCTGGCAAAATTTGATGTTGGCCCGTTGCTCTATACGATCCATTTTCACACTTCGAAGCAGTAACACACTGCTCTACTACCGCGACCTTCACGTCTTCTAGGCAAACGGGAACTGAACAGTGCCGATGTCTGTGAGTGAGTGGCAGGGAATGTCTCAACATGCCTCCGCATGCGTCATGCTACCTGCCATAGCAGCACTACTATAGGCTGAGTCCGGAAACTTTTTTGAAGGTACCTTGTAGCAGCATGGATACAGAAACCATTTCTTCAAAGTTATTCTATGGTCCCTCCAGAATGCTTGTGCAAAGTGCTAGCCCCTTCACTTATGGTTTGCGGACAGTGTTGTCAATCTTACCATGCAAGCCAATATGGGGGAATATGGACTCCTTCATTTCATGTTAGCACTGCACTGACCAATTGGTAGTGTCAGCTTCCTTTCATATGGGATCTCAGGCTGTGAAAGATCATCCAATGCACTTCCTATGGATATATGGATAGAGTACTGGGCATTGCACGAAATATGCAGTACATGAGGAGGCGGTGCATGAGCACATCCTCATGCACCGCCTCCTGGACATCCGCTACGCTCGACATAATATAGAAATTTTCATAGCATGAAATTTGTATCCAAGTAAATATCCCTCGTACAAAAAGGTAAAAGGGCATTCTATGATTTTTTTGGCACTATTTATGCATACATGCAAAAACTAAGCAACGTTTTTCCTGCAATGCAAGACCTCTTATTTTACACTCGTAACGCATGTTCATTTTAATTTATCACTCATCACTCATCTCACACCCTCGGTCTCTAGATACAGTCTCCCAATCACGGGCAATGCTACTCAAAGCCAAAAGCGTTTCAATCCTGTTTCCACAAAAGGTCCTTGCGACTTCTTTACTAGTCCTCAATGCAGTTAATTTTTTTATTTTCAACTGTTGAGCCTCCATTATTATGTTTCAAGGTACTCAGCATGTTCCAGCATATTTCACACGTACCTGGAAAATCTTGAGTTGTTTTTTGAGAAGTGGCCATATTCTCCCAACAACATGGGTAATATGGCCTCTTGGGAACGACTTGGTAAAGATCCGAAGGCGCAATATCCATACGGTTTTTTTGCATGTGCCTTGCTGGGATTTAGTAAAGGAGATATGAATCAGTATTTTAGAAACATTGTAAAAGTCCAATTCGACCTTGATGGGCCGTTATGACCAGGTTTCATTTTGTAGGGCTATGTTCTCTCAAATTACCCTATGGTTGAAACCGATCTATTAATATATCCAAAAATCATCACATGCTTCATGAAATTTTTTAATCAGGAAGTATTTTTGACACAGATGCTGGAGTTGGGCCCCCGCCTACAGGACGGTTGAAACCTCTTGGGCATGCTTGGGGTACTAACCGTTCCGTCAGCATCCTGCCTTCTCCTCGCTACAATGCTATATGGTATGTAATGGTTCCAGACTGGGTATTTGCGATCGGCTCCAAAAAAGCATTGAACGCATCTTCATCTCTCCCATGGACACATTTGATTAAATAATCTTGATCTATTCTCGACCGGAGTTTTTTTTTTTTCTGAAAAATAATGACATAATTTGGAGAATTATGAGAGACATCTTTTCATCTTGACCCTAGGGTGCAAAGTCTCCCCTACCTTATTTACATATTTTGCACCATACCTGGTTTCTGACCTGGTCTCATGAATATGGGTTCGTGATTTCAAGGGATTTTTTGGCTTAGCTTGGTAGTTTTTTGGCTTTTGGCTTAACATTAGCTTTATTGGATCACCGGTAAATTTTCCCGCTGTGCAAGTCCTCCCCCTTAAGACTCGTAAGTCCCATGCATGATTTTTCGAGACTGATTGAGGGTATACAGGGTGGGCCAAAAATTGTTCACCGTTTATATTTTTGCTAATTAAGTTAAGTGCCTGCAATTTACGTCATAAATTAAAATGAGGAAATTACAATCAAACACACTTCATTTTGCGAAAATCGGTTCAGAACTTTTTGCACAATGACGATTTCACGGCGAGAGGTGAAAAACCGCCGCTGCGCGAACCGGGATTCCTACCTCGCGCCTGTAGGTGTGTGCAAGGCGGCCAGCGTTCCTGCCATTTTTTTTATTTTTGGACACTGCGTTTCTTTCTCAATGTGCTGCGAGATGTTTAACATGCATGATTGTGTTGTCGCCTATCCTTTTCAAGGATAGGCGACAACACAAATTGCGAAAAATTTTGAAAGGATATATCTAAATCGCGAATGAAACGTGAGAACAGGAAATAAGCTACTGAAACGTTTGTGAGAAAATGGTCCCGTAAGTCGTAAACCTGGCAGTGAAGGACCGCTATCTGCAAGGACTCCAGAGAATGTGCAACACGTCCAGGAACTGATCTGTAGCCAGCAGAACGATCCTGGAAGCAGTCTTAGCGCTCGGGAAATATTCTAACAAACGGGGATTTCTCGCAGCTCCGTCCGTCGCATCGCCAAAAGTGATCTTAACCAGAAAGTCTACAAGAGATTAGTGTGCAGCAGCTGTAATCGAGCATCAAGGAGACTGGAACGCTGCAAGAGGCTTCTTCGCCGCTTATTCACTAAAACATCTATAGACAAGATGACGAAGAACCTTGAAAACTCATAACAGCCAAATCGAAAGGGTCTTAGCAGATGTACCCCGCAAAAAGCCTCGGTCCTCAGAAGCGTCTGCTGAAACGAGGAACTTCAGCCTGTCCATAATGGTATTGGTAGGAGTGTTGCGTAGCGGCGGTTTTTCACCTCTCGTCGTAAAATCGACACCGTGCAGAATTTTCCTACCAGATTTTCTAAATAGAAAGTGCATTTGATTGTAGTTTAGCCAGTCTAAGCAATGGTATGAATTGCAGGAACGTAACTAAATTAGCGAAATAATGACAGCGGAAAGAAACATGTGGAACTTTTTTTGGCCACCCTGTACATTGAAGGAAAGGCCCTAATCGTGATAGTGTTTTTCACTTGAGTTAGACAATTTTTCACTTAACTCAGACACGCGTGCATGGGACGTTCCTTATGTATGAGTGTCGAAGTGAAAAAGTGTCAAACTCAAGTGAAAAACACTGTAGCACCCTTCGATAAAGACACGATTACTCCGCGCGCAGGTCGGACATGTCTAATGGGAGCTTCCTTTGCACCCTTTCCAGACCGCGTCTGCTTTCAGGCGGCACATAATGTGGTACTTCACGATATACCATGATATACCTCATATACGAGGAACAGTCAAAAAGTCTGTGCCGCAAGCCTATAGTGGCCATGTGCGTAACTACCGTATATAAAGACCAATAGGTGGTTGTTGATGTCTTCGGACCTTTGTTCGCTCGCAGTCGTTTCTTGCTGTGACGGTAACAATACGGATTCGGTGATTTGTCTTTGAAGTGTCTTTCTGCATGTCTATAGAAATCCCACGATAGGATGCTCGTAACGTCATTCCAAGAAACCATATTTCAATAAAATGGAAATAATTAAGTGTTTCATGTAGGAAAATTCTGCTCGGATAAAGCTGAAAATGCATGAGAAGATCATCCATGGCGATGACATTCCATGTACCTTTACATCCAAAGGACGACCGCCTCTGGACAACTGGCCCGTCCATGGACGAGTTTTGGATCACCCATGGCTACTTGGGTATGAATTCATCTTTTCAATTCTGAGATCAAGAGACAATCAAAACAATGGGAGCACTTGGATTCTTCACCGCCAAAGAAGTTTCGACAAGTTACTTCTAATGAAAAGATTCTGTACCCCATTTTCTGGGACAATCAAGGCTTGATTTTGGCTCAAGCTGTTCCCAAGGGTCCAACCATCAACGGCCAGTATTACCGACACCTTCTAGAAACGGAGCTTCGGCCGTCAGTGGACAAGTTGTGCCCGGAACTAGCGGATGGCCATCTTGCACTAGGACAACGCATTACTGCACACTGCCAGAGTTCTTTACTGAAAGGGGCATCGAACTCTTAACCACATCCACCCTATTCGCCAGATGTCTCTCCGAGTGACTTCCCCGGCAGCACAATGCATTGGGCCCACGTTGGCTGCGAGTGGGAAAAAGGGGGCCAACATCGTAGTGGGCTTGCCGATGTTGGCTCCACATTCGCGCTAGGGCGGCAGCCTACATTTGCCATGTAACAGGATGCGACATCTATCTCAGTTATTTGAACAAGAAGCTTTCCGCAGATTATGCGAGATGGCTGGTATGCAGCAGCTAATCATTAGGGAATTATCCGGATTGAACTAGCTGCCGGGAAGCTTTTTGTTGTAATAGTAGCTACATACCTGCAATCGCTTATATGGTGGGAAGCTTTCTGTTCAAATAACTGAGATAGATGTCGCATCCTGAGTCATGACAAATGTTGGCTGCCGCCCTAGCGCCAAGGTGGGGCCAACACGAGTATCCTACTGCAATGTTAGGCCACTTTTCCCCACTCACAGCTAATGTGGACCAAATGTATTGTGCTGTCGATAAGTGATAGGTACACGATAGGTGATCGCGACTGACAGACTGACTGACGCTGATTCTAACCATGTTCTAGAAAAGCTAGAAATCTGAAACTTAAGACCATGTACCTTTGCAGAGTTCAGAAAAAATTCCACTTGGAGGTACATGCCCTGGAGGTATTTTTGCGGGGTGAAGTTTTCAAGTAATTTTTTTTTGTCCACTGAACTGTACAGAGATATTAGATTAAAATGTTAAACTTGGCACAGAAATAACTGAGGTGATGGTGAATTCAGAAAAATGCAATTTTTGTGGTGCATACCCCCAGAGCACAGCACTTGGTTATGTCGGCTTTTCCAAAGGTATATTTGCACCAGGAAAAAGAGCCAACGGATAAGGCTGAAACTTGATATGCATGTAGTTCTCCGAGTACTGATTGAGTATAAAAAAATGTTAATTTTTAGGTAAAACCCTTAAGGGCATTTTTTTTTCTGCAAAAGATGCATTTTCCGGAAACTTTTTAATTCAATGGAGAGAACTAAAGAAAGTTGAAACTTGGAGCAGAACTACCAGTTCGATTGCTTAGTACATGTCCTACTTTTTAAATATGACCCCTTAGGGCAGATTTTGAAGGGATTTAAAATTAAGCACGCAAAGAGCAATGGGAGTAATTATTCCGATGAAAATATCGGTTTGTTCTCTCGATACACATTCCGACGGGCACATAGTTTTCATACGTTTTTGCCACATTGAAAATAAATTATTAAATGAATCACCATCCCGGGGATGGAGCGCCGAAGGCGCGACAATAGCGAGTTTGTTTGCCCGAAGGGCAAACTAATAAATTACGAGTGGGTTTAGAGTAATTTATATATAAGACTTTATATTATATATATTTTACCCATTCTTTTTTGTGCATTTTCCAGATTTGGCCTTTTTTGGCGCTTACAAAAATATAAAATATCTCGCAACACTATCCAAATCACTAGAATTTTCTGCCAATGGGAATGTTGATTTCGCTATATATGGTTCCATGAGAGGACTATAAGACTTGAAAATGCTTCATAAAACACTTGAAACGCAAATGAGCTAGCGGCAATACACTGGAAAATACCAGTAATTACCGGGAAATTATTTATATTTTACAACCCTACTCTTGATAAGAACACTATTCTCCGTGAATACAAACGGTATCTACAAAGTATCACCTCCATCAACGTATCACAATGGGTATTTTAACTAGAGTTGTGAGTGATGGTAACATTGCCGTAACGTTACCGGTTTACCGGTAATTACCGTGGTGCTGCTTACCGGTAAATGACCAGTAAATCACTTTTTTCATGGTTTTCAGCATTTATTTTTCGCCAGAAAAATGCATACTATCCTGCTATTTTTTTTTTTTGGCCAGAAAGAGTTACCCTAGGCCTGAGTCAATGACGATGACACAATCACAAAGGTATCAAGACTTTCGTAGCGTTCCGGCATGTCTTTCATGTTACGCTGAGAAATTACTTAGAAATTAGTACAGAGATTTTCTAACCCGTTGATTGTGCTTATCCTGTCCAAATCCGCATTGGCGGCTATGACACCGAAGGCAGGTGTCGCGCTTTCGTACCATTTTTTCTTTTTTTTTTGTCGATGGTTGGAAATGGACGTTATTTACCAGCGTCATTTTATTATTTTATGAAATCACTCGCTTTCTAGGGCGGAAGAAAGTATAAAGGCGGATCAAGACCGATGATTTCTTTCTCGCCACCTGTTTTCATGCAAAATCAATCACACGTTCAATACTTTGTGGGAACACCAACCTTGCCATTTTCGTGGATAGACATTTTTCGTGGAACTTGGGGAAAAATAAACATTACTTTTCAATCCAACCTTATGAAGCCCAGGAGTGATCCTCGATGTTGGG